AAAATTAGACGCGCTATACGTGAGATACAACGATGAATGAATTTGTAAATGAAATAAGTGCGGGAGAAATGAGAGACAGAGAGCGATAGAGATGTAAGCGAGAGTAACAACGTAGAAGCGAGGTTGTAGTTTAGTGCTTGGAGGTAAATGATAAAAATATACTCGATACCATGATGTATCGCGTAAAATGATGTTTCTAACGAAATAACGTTAAGATGTTGAAATATTTTCGATATAAATCCGTAAAAAGATAATAATGTTTGCCGATACGAAACAAAGATTCTGTAAAAATTTCGTGTTCGAAACTTGAGCTACTCGAATGGTCCGATAAAGATAGTTCCCGTCGTTTTATCGAGACGCTACTGCGCGTGTAAGACGCTAGTACGTTAAGGTTATTGTGCGATTGAGACTGTTATCGATAGTCAAAGAGTACGTTGTACAGTCTGTACTTGTTAGTGATTCATGCTGCCGTAATAGGGCTGGCGTACACTTATCCGTTTGTTTCCTGGTCTTACAGCATCGTTAACCGAATCTCTTAAACGTTCTGTAAATGTTTTGTACTCCATTTCTGGATTATTTTGACCAAAGTCGAAATCTGCAACTTCCACTGTGAATCTTGCTTTATTTTGTATGTAATACGCGATGCCAAAGATAACGAGCACCACGGCAGCAAGCGAGCAAGAAACAGGTACCACGATCACTGACAACTGTGGCTTTGTCGTTACTACGATTAAATTGATTGATATTAGTTTTGTGACGAAACGAATTATTATTATTGTCATTAGTATCGATATTTATAACAATATATACCTTTATAAATATTTATTGTCAAAGGATAGATTTGTTCACTGACATCGTTATTTAATATAATTAATATCGTATATACGCTAGGTTCCAAAAAATAATGGATAATGGAAAAATTACAAGAATAAAGATTATCTCCGCTGTCGCATGTTTCGTTTCCAGTAACGTTGTACTTTCCTCTATGAAAATAAAGGCACTTGTTAAAAGGTCCTGAACCTTTGCACGACACATTCAGAGATAACATATCCCATGGTTGAATCCAATTTGTACCCTCTACCGTTATATTCGTTATGGGTGCTAAAATTTTTACAAGTTACAATCGTTGTCGCAACTGAATCTGAACGTCGTTACTTCGTTTGATTTTGTAGAATATGTTACTCACCGCGAACGTCAATTTTTTTGACGAAGTGCCCGTATGTTTTGTTAGGATCTGGTGGGATTATCGAAGAGTTGGAACAGATATAAGGTAAAGAAATATTATTTACATCGGAGATACTAATGTTTGTCGCGTCGTTTGGAGGTGCCACTGGTGTCATTGTTGACGTTGGTTGTACACTCGAGTTATCCCTGGATACGGTAGCAGTTACCGTACGTTCCGTCGTAACATTTGACGTCGTAATATTTGGCACGGTTGCGTTGGAAGGAACAGTTGTTGTTATTGGTAAAGCGGTTGTAGTAGGTGCGATAGTCGTTGTCGGTAAATCGTACGATGCAACCACCAAAGCTTCTAACACGTGCGACGTATCGGGAATTGTAAAATTATAGAGAAAACTCGAGTCGCTTGTTTGACCGAAATATTT